TTAGTTTTGTTGGTCAGCAGTATTAAATATAAAGTTATAGGAAGGAACTATTGCAACAGGATGTGGATCTAAGAGGCTCATGTTGAAAAATCACCTTTGGGGTGTCTATCAACATGCTACCCTCACACAGTATGAGCATGTGAACCATTAGTGGATGCAAGGGTGGAAATGGTGAATACATTTTGATGTGCCAAAGCATAAAATCCTCTGCTGATGAACCCTCTGAAATGAATATTCGTTAATGAGTGTGGGGAAGGCATGGGAAAAGGTGACTTGCCCTTCCTCCCTGTTTCTGCTGCAGAGAAGACAAGGGCAATTCTTAACACCTTTTGATTGACCTCAGGGATCTGCTCCCACCCCCTTTTCCTTGCAGTCTACTCACCCCTGATAAATGAGTGAATGGAATATCTAGATCTATTTTAGGCTTGTGAGGATTCTAGGAGAGAGAATTTATCTCTCATGTTTTGTACGGGCTCAGACATAGTGCCTGTCCGTTTTTGTCCCTGAATATCTTAAAATCTTGTTAAGTTGCTCCATGGTGATGATTGTGTAATTCATACATAAACACAGTGTGAGCCTCTCTGATTTTATTAACAGTGTGCTAGAGCAAGTTTTTGTATTCTTGGGTAGTCATACAAGTGACCAGTGGCTTATTGTGTAAGTTGTGGGACTACTAAATGAAGATTTATAGTGCACGTGTCAGTTGACTTTAATCCTTTTACCAAAAGAATACAGTTGGCTACCTTTATAAAATTCAGCAGCTTGGCATTCTAAGTTTGAGTTATTCTTAACTGGTATCTGTACACATTGCCTTCAAAGGAATCTTAAGTGTTTTGCTCTATTATAAAGTGTTTATATTAAAGTACCTTCACCAGTATTACCCTCAGTGTTTCTCCCCTTCTTCAGCTAGCTGGGTTGTTCATGATTTGCATATAGGAAAATGTTAGGCACAGAGGCTGACTTGCTCAAGATCTTCTAACAAGACTGACAGCTGTTTAGCCCAGGATGTCCGGTCTCTCAGCCGGTACTTTAGCCACCAAACTGTGTTCCTGCTG